TGGCAATGTCCTGGGCAGTGAATGAGTTAGTAGGTGGAGGCCATGGGGGATAAAGTAGAGGGTTAAAGGTAGAAAAGAGTTCAAGAGGACTGGATGAGACAGTGTTAATAAATGCTTAAATAGGTCTGTTTGGCAGAACAGAGGGAGAAATTATATCTTAGCAGATTGGTACAGGGGGAAGTCTTGCAAGGATTTAGCTTTACTTCCCACTCGGACTGCTTTGCTTATATCTCAAACAGCCCATTGTTTCAAATCCCACAAACAATATTTGAATGTTAAGAATTCATAATCAAAAAGCAATTATCTAATGGTCATCTTTTAGATTAAATGTTTTCAATGATTCAACATGAATGCATACATTCCAAATTTTTATTTTTACAATTTACAGTAACATGGGAAAATATCTCTCTTGGTCAAGTTATCCTGTAGTTTAAGTGGGTTGCATTGTATGGTCAAGTGGCTATGATTTGTAAACTTCCAAACATTTCCATACCAACCCACAAACTAAACTCAGTGCTATAATTTTAAAGCTTTCAAACCATACTGTCCGCGAAAATGTACACTGAACAGATAATGACAAGACTATATGAAAACAGCTGGAATCTGGGTATGAAAAACAAAACAGGTTCCTGAAGGAAGTTTACTCATGTCTTTGTACCCTGGCAAATTTAAGACATTCATCAAACCGGTGTTTATTTTTCCACAGCTGAAATAAGTCTTGTCTAGGTTTTTATGTTTAGTTAATAAGTATTTCCTTTTTGACTACCGTTTTATTGTTTGGATGTGCTGTAGTTCTTAAGCATTTACAAAATTTTATGTTATTTAAAAGGAAAACACCATTAAAAAAAAAAACTACATAAAATATTACAGCAAGCTGTGTTGAAATGAAATGTTGTTAAACATTAATTTTATATTTCAGTCTTTGACCTAACAAGATGTTTTAGAACTGCAAAAAAATCTTTCTTGCTATTGCAACTCTATTCAGTTTGTTGAACAGATTTTCTAAATATGCATATTCGGCTGCTCTCATAATTTGGTTCACTTACTAGTCCAGACGTCTACAAAAAGCTAAAAATTAAAGTCCAACTCTTGCTTCCAGGTCCCCCGACCCCTCTGGAGACCTTACGCATTAAATGTACCCTTTACAATTGTATTAATACTTACCTTTGCCAAATGTCTTCAGGCCAGTCACATGACATGCAGGACCCTTTTCTTCCTTACCTCTTCTCCGGTGCTGATTGGTCCTCAATCATGCAAAAAGCAAATTTGACATAATCACACCAAGGGACGATCTCAACATCATTACACTCAGTACAGGGTGCTATGGTGATGCTACCTGATTCATTCAGCATAGAAGACTGAGGACATCCAGTAATAGAAACAGATTACTGTGGGGGACAGGGCTGGAGAAAAGGTTTGAATTGCTGCCTGAGTGTTTTGTTTTTTTAGGGAAACTGTGGGCAAATTCAAAAATTAACTTTTAGGATGCAGTTTATCACTAAGATTAAGATGGTAGCTTTTGTTTATGAAATTTTCCATAAATCAGTGACTATGAAAAACGTTGTGCATTTAATTGGTTCTTGCTCTTTAAAACCTACATGGTTATTCACAAAGGTGTGAAGATTTTGGAGAAGGCAGGAGGAAAGAACAATTTAGGCCAAAATAGCTGATTTGGAAAAATTCTCCAATTCAGCTCGCTTTCCAGTTCAACAATGTTGTCCTAGATTGTTCACTTCTCCTGCCTTCTCCAAACTCTTCACCCTCTATTGAATAACTCTGCAAATGTTACCACCGTTGACTCAGAATTATGCTCAGTAAATGAGTTTTACATTTATCAGGTTTGTGTTGACATTGATCACTCAGAAGGGGAAGTGGGTTGATATTGGTTGCGGACAGGTCAAGGGTGCAGAAGTGATTAGGACCACAGATACACAGAGAATATGAGCAATTACCTGTCTGTTCTGAAGAAACCTTGGAGGTGCTATGGCTTCTGTAGCCTAGTAGGAATGCAGCCAGCCAGAGGAAGTATGCAGAGACAGGGACACCAAGAAAAGGAGAGTTGCTCTAGAGTTATTTGACCCATTGTTGAGGATGACAGGTAAGGAGCTTATGGTCTGGCACCTAAGTATATGATCCCCCTCTGCTGTGGCATGGATGGTGTCAGCAAAGCAGAAACAAATAAAAATCTGCATCATTGTTTGGTGAAATTGTTTTCTGCAGCTTTCTACAATGCCTGCAAAGCATTGTAGACCTGGAAGGGGGTTTTCTCCATGCAAAAGCCTGGATTTGGCTAAAAATGTTTTTTTTTTCTGTGAATGAAAAACACAATATGTTACTGATCTAATTAAGCAATTGCCAATCACAATTTTGTATATTTCTTGAGGACTCTGGGAACAATATTTTGAACCTGAGTTCCCAACTTCAGCAGTCATATTTGTTGAATATCTGCCACTCCTTTGTCATTGGCCAGAAATATACTACCCTGTTTGGCTGTCATTCATTTTAGTTTGGTATTGCTAAGACCAAGTGTAGCTGGCTCTGCTTGCCAAAACTATTAAAAGTCATCCAGCAATTTTGGTAATAAATAAGTGTAAAAGCACACAGTTGTATACAAACATAATATTTAAATTGAATGGAACTCAATAACAACAGGCAGTATTATTGTTGAATATTCACACAAGCTAACCCAAACAGAAAAAGAAATTGAAGAACAATTTTCAGTAGACATTGCATTCAAGATGTAAAAATGAAAGGCTACTTCCTCACTAAAGGTAAAACAACTATTGTAGAACAATATGTTTTACTTGCCTGTTCTCCAGTGATGAATACAGGCCATGGAAGGAAAAGGGTCTCCTTAAAAAAGAACTTTGGGCAAATAAAATCATAACCCTTGCAGTGGGGCTACCCCTACACTGCACCTGTTAAGTGATCATTTTTTCTAGGGATCTAAAATAACAGTAATATACTGTAAGCGCCGCTTGCCGATGCGTTCCAGCGTGGAGCGCACTCGGCTACGTCGCGATGACGCGGATGTGTGGCGCCGCTGCGTTCCACGCTGGAACGCGGAAGTGCCGAGAGGAGCGTGCGGCTCCTCCCACCCACACTTCCTCAAACATTTAAAAACCGGCTTGGGGGAAATGCACGGTGTTCCCTTATTGCAGTCTTAATGCCTGCAAACCCCCAGCTAAACGTTAACCACTATCCCCATATGGATGAAGTGACACAGCCAGCCTGCAGCTCCTGGGAGACCCCCTGATCCGGACCCCAACAACCATTGGAGCTGTGCCAGGGCGCAACCCCCAGGATCCGGATAAGTACCTTGCGGCCTTATACTATCTGCCTTTGACTTTAATTTACCTCCATATTGGATATATTACCACGGATGCATTTATTACTTGATTTTGACTTTGTTTTACCTTCATATTGAAGATCATACCAGGGATGCATTTATTACTTACATATGACTTTGATTTACCTTCATACTTGAGATAATACCATGGAAGCATTTATTACTTGCATATGTCTTTAAGTTAACCCTGTACTGGAAAGTTCCCCAGGGACTCTTAAGATAATTGGATGTGAATCTAAAAGATGCCTTTGTTACAGTGATTACACCTGCACTACTAGGAGGTGTCTTTAAGTTATCTACAGATAGGGGGTATGAGGTAATACCTTCCCTGCCTGCATTATAAAAAGATCCCCAATTATTCGGGCAGATGATGTAATGAACTCCAAACTCTTCGCTTAAGATTAAGAGTGACGCCTGGAGTTCAGTACTGAGTGCCATACTTTGATAAATACACTCCTTACTACTGCCACCCCTTCCTCCTTGTGGTTCAGACTCGTTCACTGCAGGACGTGACATATACTCACCTGAACCACGATCCTAACTGGCTCCTAGAACAGTTCCTGCAGGCCATCTTCTCCTCCACTCCAGCGATGGAATGTCCCTTGGTGTCCTCAAGTCCAATACACTGTATAGAACGTGATGACTCACAGAACCTTAGACTGCTGGAGCTGAGAGGAGCAAGGCTAAAGGGACCAGTCTAGAAGCCAGCTGGGATTACAGTTCGGTTGAGTTTATCTTTGTTATTTTAGCTCCCTAGACAAAAAGAGCACTTAACTGTTGCAGTGCAGGGGTAGATTTTGTTTGCCCGGAGTTCTTTATTTTCTTCCTTTTCATTCTTCTTTAAAGGCCCATATTGTTGGTTTTAACATATGCATGGAACCATGTCACAGTGAGCCCTGGACAGTATCTCCCAATAATTACTTGGGCATTATTTTTGCCTGTACCTGCTCTTATATGTGTTACTCCTCACATTGCCTGTTCTTGGTAACAAACAATCCCTACTAGCCCATGTGCACCCCTGTCATGACTGCTAGACAGTTAAGCAGTTTGGAGTCCCCTTGCTGAAAGTCTAGATTCCAATAGTATGCAGGCAAACCAGTCTTATCTCACGTCACTGCAGACTGGTCAGGCCCTAACAGGCCTTTACCCTTTCTTCTTTAGGTGCCTACAACTGAGACTTTCACAAAGCTTACATACCAACATATGGGAGCTACCATTCAATCTATGACTTGCAACTGTATACTAGTTCCACAGCTGTAAGACAGCCTATTCAATTTCACTGTGAATTATGTTGTTTTTGCAGAAAAATAATGCAACAGAGCAATCAGTGAATGGCAATTTACATCCGATGCTTCTCACAAAGGTATTTTACTTGTAACATGATCCTTTTAACCACCTACACTCAGTTTTCATTTAGTAGCTCTTTTTGATAAAGTAGAGAAGGATCAGAAACTCTTTGGGGTTTTTATTGCTGTCTGTCCGTAACTGATGAGATTGTATTTATTTATTACCAGTATTTATATAGCGCCGTCAATTTACGCAGCACTTTTACACAGTGCATATTCACATCAGTCCCTGCCCTCAAGGAGCTTACAATCTAAGGTCCCTATCTCACATGCATACATGCAAATTTAGACAGGAGACAATGAACCTACCCGCATGTCTTTGGGCTGAGGGGGGAAACTGGAGTACCCGGAGGAAACCCATGCAGGCACAGGGAGAACATGCAAACTCCTTGCAGATAATGATCTTACCTCCTGCCCCAGTGACATAAGTAAAAGGAAATCTCCCCCAAGTGAGGGGATATCACCAGGACAGGTGTGATTAGATTTTCTCTCATCTCCTGTTGACAGACTATTTCTCACGTTCTGTCCTGCTGACAACTGTGTGTCCCCAGTGTGGACTCCCCCGCTCTATCTAAAACTAAACAAAAAAATTAATATAATGGATGGAGTTCCACCTTGGTTTTGTCCTTCAAGTTAAAGTACACATTCAGTATTATTGTGTTGTATACAGTACTTGCCCCAGTAGCCTATAAAACACAGAATGATGGGTTACCTTTAGTTACGATATGTCATATGTCTCTTTTCCTGGCCTAGCATGGCCTGCACATTCCCAAAGCTGTGTTTTAATTCCTGCTTTTGTGTCGACATGCAGGATGCTCATTCAGTTTGATAAAGATGTGGTGTCCCTTCTCTATACAGAATCCTCTTCTAGTGGTCAGCAACAACATGTTCACAGTATAGCTGGATGTAAATATAGTCTTGGAAGACTGCAGGCCATGCTGCTAAAAGTAATCCATCATGCTGGCACTGGGAACAAATCCATATTTCATAGTGAAAGTACAACTATTCTTTAAATAGTGCCTTCCATGTGCCTTTTTATTTACGACACATCATTGTGGAAAGCCTTTGAGAAACCTGAAATAGATTCTCCAGGTAAGTAGACAAAACCTAAATACGGAACATTTGAATTTTTACTATTCATATGTAATGCTTAACCACATGAAATATAAAAAAGCACTTGTCCATGTTAAAGAACCTGAGTCATAGAAAGAAAAGTGCCTATTCTTGCATATGGAAGATATTTGAATCTCTGCATTTCACAATGACAAATTTAGTGGTTTTTGAAAAGGAAATATGTTCCATTAAATGCTACCAGTCCTTAAAGCCTATGAGAGCACTGTCAGATACCATCATAATTCATATTGCTGGGAATTGAGTTATGTGTATTCAGGTTTGTAGAGATGATAAATTATATAAATAAAAGACAGCTTATCTGAGATTCCTTTTAGATTTCCAAGAACCGCAGATGCAGGACACATTACGGTTACTTTGTGTGGTTGCTAAGAGACCTGAAAACAGTACAGACTTTATATAGGAGCAAGTGGATTCTCTAGTCATTGAACTTCAAAGCATTACCATAATGCTCGGTTTATTTCTTGTTTTCTTATGTTAAGTAAGATTGCATCGTAAGGGCGAAAACAAAAGCTTGTGTTCCATGTTTTGAGCATATGTTCATACTATCTTTTAGGGCAATCGTAGGTTCCTCTTCAAAAATGGGAATTTTTTAATAACATTCAAAGATGGTTTCTACCTAAAAGAAAGCTAGCTGCCGGGGGGAATTTGGTAATTCTTTCTTTCTTTCTTTCTTTCTTTCTTTCTTTCTTTCTTTCTTTCTTTCTTTCTTTCTTTCTTTCTTTCTTTCTTTCTTTCTTTCTTTCCATTAAGTTACTTAATTATGGGGCCTTTTGGATTAGGGTTCAATCATGCACTGACAGTTAAAACCCAAGCTAATTTTTCCAACCTGGTCAACCATTTTTTTGCCTCACTTTGCTCACTCCCGTATTTTCATTTTTTATATTTTATACTGAATGAGCTGCTTATTTTAATTAAAATGTCTAAGGCAGTTTTGAATGACAATTATTACGTAATATCTATTGCAACACTTTCTCTATTTTTAAGTCACTGTTGTTCATCAATGTTTCTTGGATGCATAAAGGCTCTTGTGGATTCCAATGTGATCATATTCATATTGGACATATAATTCTTTCCAGGATGTTCTGGGACTGCCACAGTGCTTTCTGCCAATCAGACATTCCTGGAAAAGCTCCAATGGGAACCATCCAGGTTATATTTGTTTCAGTTGCCCAAACAACTTCAGCTGTTTCTTATCAATATGAAGTAATAGAAGCCCTATTTTGAATTGAAACTAACAAAGGGCTCTCTAGTAAATTAATCTTAGAGGAAAACCATTGTAAACAAGTTACATTTTTGGAATTCCCTGTCAAAAATGTGGTTATCTAACAGTATAAGTAAATTAAATGTGGACTGAATGACTTTCCGCAAAGGACAGCCCAGCCTTATTTTCTAGTTATACTTCCACCTGACTTGGATATTTTAGGGCGCCCCTCCACCTAGGTAAGTCTCAACTCCCAATAGGGAAGGGGACCCCTGTAATGGCAATGAAAGTGCAAGCTGTAGTCCTCTTTCAGGGAGCTGGCACTTTTAGAAGGAGATATGAGCAAATGCATCCCTTTCTTCATGACATCTTCCAGATAGCAACCCAAAACTTTCTATTAAAGTGTTAACTTTGTATGAAATGCTTTACATCTACCTTAAAGTGACATTAAACCCTCAGATTTTTTAACATAAAACAATACTGTAATGTGTGCCTTACTGTAATCCATGGTTGTTTCCCTTCTCTTTGCTGCTCTTCCTTTTAAATCTGTATCTGTTCTCATGCTGGGCAGAACTTCTGTTTTGCAGCAGACTGCCTTGTCTCTGGAATGGCTACATGGTGTCTGTGTGTACATTTGCAACCTGAGCCAGCACTACAGGAAGAGGCACTTAGCTGCAAAGGGAAGTTCTACCCCAGCATGAGAAGAGATACGGATTTAAAAGGAAGAGCAGCAAAGACAAGGGAAACTACCATGGATTACAGTAAGGCACACATTACAGTATTGTTTTATGTTAAAAAATCTAAGGGTTTAATGTCACTTTGAGAGATGAGGCTAACACAAATATAACAAGGAATGGTAGTTGTTGTAGAGGAATGGAGGGAGGATTTATGCAATAATAATATGTGTGCTTCATAAATATGTTTATATATTGCTACTAGAGATAAACGATTAATGTAATTTTTTTTTCTGACTGTGGAAATAGGGTCCAACATTCACTCTACCGGGAGAATTTGATCCACCTGGTGGGTTAGTGAACTGATATAATGGGGTTGATTTACTAACCTTATAAACACGCCACGAACAGGTATACACCTCTGTAGTGTGTTCCCTCCCAGCATGATCTATTGGTGGAATCTAGACACCTTTGTAGTGTGTACACACCCAGCAGGTGTGTTGTGCAAAGCCCTGCATGAATTGCAAGGTGATGTTGTGTAAATTAGCTCTACGTTGTGTTGCTTGCGTTGATGAATGCAGGAATGTAAATGCATGAGCTAACCATTTTTGTCTAAACTGTGAAGCAGCATTATATATGCATCATGTGCATGATTTTTCCATATATGGCATTAGTGGAAATGTGCTTTTAGAGACTTTTTGGTTGATAAATACGTTTTGCTGTGTGAAAATCACACGCACCTGGTGCGTGCGTGTGTTTAGGTTAGTAAATCACCCCCAATGTGTTTTAAATGAATACTTACCAGTTAGCAAAGATCAGACTGTACAGGGACACCACACCTCCATAGAGGACATTCAGGATAAGCCACCCTCCATCCCAGGCACCTATTGATATCCACCTAGGGTTGATGGGCCTGGAATTTCCCTACCCATGAGACATTGTTGTATATTCTGATTTCCACAAACCATTTGGGTAATTTTTAATAACTATGTAACATGTGCCCCTATTTTCTACAAGTAGCATCAAGATACGCAGTAATATGTGTCTTGGTTTTACAGATTCTTTGTAGAGTCAGAAAATGGAGAAGGTAAGAAAAAATCCTCGGAGTCTGGCACTGCACCTGAATGCTGCGTGTCCAGCATTGTTTATGCTGATTATTTGTCTGATTTACTCTGCAGATGTTTTCTTTACATCACATGGAAGGCAGGTAAAGAGTGTGTGTCCATTGTAATTACATTCACTATACTTCAGTTAAATGGTTTCGGACTGTGGTTGGCTGCTTTTCTCCTTGAAGTCACGTTTCAGAGATTGTATTAAATGTGACCTTGATATCACCAGGAAAGGCATTCAGGCTGCATAAACAAGTTGGGACTATCAATTGCCTTTATCAGACTGGTAACATACAATACTCTGGGGTTGTCCTAAATTTTCTCACTGCTAGTTCCCCACTGCAGCTTTCTGAAGATATTTTAAGGACGTACCCATAGGAAACAGACATTATGAATCTGATCTATGAATCAGACAGTTACATCTAACTTTTCCTCAACCTAAGCCTTCAGCAGAAAAAGGATACTAGTGGAGCACCACACTCTTTATTGAGGACTCTCTTGAGCTAAATTTCATTATAGGGGGGTGATTTACTAACCTAAACACACGCACGCACTAGGTGCGTGTGCGTGTGATTTTTACACAGCAAAACGTATTTATCAACCAAAAAGTCTCTAAAAGCATATTTCCACTAATGCCATATATGGAAAAAGCATGCACATGATGCATATAAAATGCTGCTTCACAGTTTAGACAAAAATGGTTAGCTCATGCATTTACATTCCTGCATTCATCAACGCAAGCAACACAATGTAGAGCTAATTTACACAACATCACCTTGCAATTCATGCAGGGCTTTGCACAACACACCTGCTGGGTGTGTACACACTACAAAGGTGTCTAGATTCCTCCAATAGATCATGCTGGGAGGGAACACACTACAGAGGTGTACACTTGTTCGTGGCGTGTTTATAAGGTTAGTAAATCAACCCCATAGCCTAATAAATTGAGGGTTTCCAAAAGGCTTTAATAGAGTTGCAATATTAGGACTTGTAAAGGGTTAGGCCCACAAACCATATGGCTCCCTCGCTACTGTTAGATTGGGACCAAGCTCCTTGCCAATGCTGTTGAGTATGTGTGTAGGACACCATATCCAAAACACTTAGACACAAGAGCCTTGGGTACAGTTGTAAGGCTAAATTCCGTGATGGCACTGTGTCCTACCATGTTCATAACAAGTGGGGTGGTGGTGGGACCATGAATTTGGGGACAGACATGTGAAGGAAAATATCCCTTACTGACATTATAACTAACAATAAA